AATACAAGTATCAGTTTTATTCAAAACCAACTCAAAAGATTATAACATCATAAATTACATCAAAAACTAAATAACAAAACTGACCGTTTAAGCCATCACATTTGGTGTACATAACAAAACTACCACAAATATATCTAATCATATTACTACTTTACAATTACTATCTAAAATAAATGCTGCTCCTTTGTAGTGGACTTGAATACTTGCTCATCAGAAAGTAGCTCAAGTGTTCCTTTTTTTGTAAACCTATAGCAAATCAATTGAACAATGAAACAAAAGAAAAACAACTCATTATATTAACAGTTCAAAACATCAACTGAAAGCATCAAAACAAAAAAATCTTTGAAAGCATCAAAACAATAAAGCTATAACAAGCAAAGTGAGCATAAATTCAATATCCCAAAATGTGGAACTGACAGTCTCATTGACATCTTTTTAATAGATAAATTCTAAGAGGAGTGTAGGAGAAGATGGCAAATTCACAAAGGACTAGCTTGTGCCACATAAACTTAAAGAGGAGTGTGGAATTTGGCTAAGTATTTTGGGACGGAGGTAGTATAAAATTATCACCCCCAATCAAGAGACATATATACAGTTAGCAAACACTAGTTCAAATGCCATATTGCAAAACCATTAATATTTGATGTAGGACTTCACTCTAGATTTGGTGCAGTTCAATGATATAGTGTAAGACTTCTACAGATGAAACTAGTATTCTCTCATCTTCCACAAACCTAATTTAAGTACTAAAAGAGTAGTAGAATACATATAGAATACTTGTTATAAATACAAAATCCTGAAACATATTACTTAGGGATAAAAAGACAACATTATAGATTGTAAACATATTCTTAATTTTCTACGGGTCAAGGATTTGAAAAGAAGATTTTTGTCAAACCAAATGTTTGATAATAACTACAAAAACAACATCACTTTGATAATTAAAGAATATAGTAACTCTCCAAAAACAAATGTTTGAACTAAGAGAAACAAAATACTTTAGCACCCTAATATTGATATCAGCAACTTTACAATGTATTCCAATACAGCAACCCAAGCACACCTAACAAAAATAAGAGCTCAAAAGCACCTGCAATAAGAAATTCAGAACTTTAAAGGGTATGTAACAAAAATAATGATATTCTCAAATAATATAGAAACAAAAGTGTCAAACAAACAACATTAAAATATCTATTAAACATAAAATTTAAAAGAAAAAAACAGAGTTACAACCCTAATCCTTAAACAACAAAATGGGGCAAATTAGCATCTAATTTAGGGTTAAGGAGGTTGGATTGAAGGAAGATGAAGGGGGAATGAATATCACGGTGGCAGTGGGTCTGCAGCAATTCACCGAATCGTAAATCGATCCTCCATGTCGGAAAGGCTCGCGGGTGGTCGAACCTGTAATTTTCCAGGCCGTGGCAGCATCCGGGCGACGACGGCTCCAGGCGGCGATGGCTTCCAGATCTGCGGCACTCCCTATTCATTCGTGAAAACACCATAGTGATAAATTAAATGGCTTGTGACAATTAAATATGGAGAAGGATTGCAATGAAAATGAAGAAGAAGAAAGAAAGGAGAAAGTGGGCTGGTGGAGAGAAGCTACGGGAAAGGTGCAGAGAAGAAATAGGAGGAGAGAAGAGAGAGAGAAAGAGGGTAAAAGATAAAAAATGAAATGGTAAAAATAATGAGGTATTTATAGCATGTACAAGTTGTGTACAAACCATGTATACATAGCATTTTCCATTTGGAATTCTTGCTCTTTTTTATTGAGGATATTTTCTATTATTATTATTACACCATTTAATTTTTTTGGTGGCTTAATTGTGAACGCGTAACTTCATTTCTCACTTTAATTTGACTATTACTTCCTCCGTTCTCTATTAATTGCAATAGTCAACATTTCACGTTTGCCAATGCACAAGTTTGAGCATTAATATCATTAATTCCTTATTAGTAAAAAAATTAAAAACAAAAATCATATTTAGAAAATTTAGAATAAGAAGAATTTAACAATATTTTTTAAAATTTTAATTTATAATGCATTAATTAATAAAATATAGTCAAAGTAGAATATGTGAACAGTGTACAAAGTCCAATGTTGCAATTAAAAGGGAACGGAGGTAATATTTGTTTGTTTGTTTTTTGTGATTTGGTACTTTACGTTTACATAATTTTCCTTTAATTTGTTTTCACTACATATACTACGTAGCATATACGAAGTACTCCCTCTGTTTCCTTTTAAATGTCCCGTTTTACCATATTGGGATGTCCCTATTTAAATGTCTCATACCTTATTTGGTAAAGTTTGTGTGGCTCAAAATCATTCTTACTTTATTCTTACTTTATCAATTAATATCAACCACACAAACCCACTTTTCTTAAAACCCGTGTCACCCTCGTCCGGGACATTTAAAAGGGGACAGAGGGAGTACTTCGTAATGCGGAGTATAGTAATTTTATATTTGTTTTTTATTTGCTTAGTTTCAGCAAATTAGCCGTTTGTTTCTCCAACTTTAATTTTATGGAGAACTTATGTTTTTCCATGATTATACAAATAAACGTGTTGGAACAAGAGAAGTGACAATCCAATTATAGAAGTGATAAAACTCTTACACCGTTGGCTATTGAGTTATGATGTGATTGATGTCTTTGCATTATTATTAGGGTGACAACTCCGGTACTCATTTAAAAAATGGGGTATCATATCTACCATGCATTTGATTGGTTCAAATCATTAAATTCATTTTAATTTAGATTTAAATAATTCCACTACATGATTCTGATTGGTCCATGTGGACAAAGGTACGATACCTTATGGGTACCATAGAATATACCTATTATTAGACTACTAGGAAGTTTTAAAATTATGGTCATCATACTCCCTAGAATTCTTTAACCAGATGCAATAGTGACGTCCGAACATAGCAAGTTGAATACATCATTTTGCTGAATTTAGAAAACTATATTAGAGAAATAATTTGCAATTTCTAATTTATTGTTTACAATGGGATAAAATATGACTTCAAAATCGTGAAATAGAGTAACTTCCACTTTACATAAATGTGGTAATATTGTGTACTTTTAATTGAAGATTTAGAAGTTTAACAAGTGATCAAGTTGTTCAACCAATTGAAGAATTAATTAACAATCGATAACATAATAATAATAATTTAAATAAATTTGTTAATCGTAGAATGCCCAACATTTGGTGCGGATAAGTTGCAAGTAATCTTTTTATGATTAGGATGTTTTTTTTGGATTTTTTTCAGTACCAGATCAGATCAGACCAGACCAGACTTCTGTAGTTATAAAATACACAGAGATCGTACGTTTACCAGACCAATTCAGACTAGACCAGATCAGATCATACCAGCAAATTTCAGTCCAAAAGAAAACATCCTTATTATTGAAAAATTGAATATTACCATTTTTAATCTAACATGCAAGCCGGGGAGGTAAAAAAACAAGTCAGTTTTAAAAATTCTTAAGATTAGTTTTCAAAAGCCAATGCTGAAAGATGAGAGATTGCTGTTTTTAAATTGCTTCACCTTTGGTATTATACAAGAAAATTTGAACCAAACATCATACGGAGTAATTTTAGTTTTTTGATTATCTTTCTTTTCAAAAACTATCAAAATTCATTACTCCGTATTAAACTTAACACTTTTCATATAATCATTAAAATAAATAAGTTCTCTATAGTTGAAGTCAACTCAAACACTTCCTAAATTATAAACTGGAAATATAACCTACCACTTTATTCTCCTAATATTATATTCACTAATAATAAAAATTGATTAATTGTAACTGTTAATTTCCATTTCGAATTTATATATAGTGAATATTAGTAGTTAGTACGATGAACAAATGTCGTATATCATTATTTTTCATCACCTATATATTCATGATTTGTTTAAATGTAATTAAATCAAAATATATAGTATGAAATTTTTTAGACCATCGGTAATTACAATTTTATAAATTATCATCCCGGGCATCGCACGGGTACTATACTAGTTTATAATAAATCAATAATATGGAAGGTACAATAATGACCTTAAATATATTAGTCTATTGAAATGCTTTATGAGTTTTGGCAAATCTCTACCAATAATCCCATTCAATCACGTTATTTGTTTGTAGTGTGTTTGATATAAAAGATTATGGATGTTTTCTTTTGGACTGTTTTCAGTCCCAGACCAGATCAGACCAGACTTAAACAGACCAGATCAGACCAGGCCAGACTTCCATAGTTATAAAATACACAGAGACCAGACGTTTACCAGACCAGTTTAGACTAGACCAGACCAGACTAGACTTCAACAGACCAGACCAGATCAGACCAGCAAATTTCAGTCCAAAAGAAAACATCCTAGGTCTACTATGATATATATGGTGTAGTCAACTCGCCGATCTTATGCGATTGCTTTTTGCACTACTTGATCTAATTAATAGCAAACAAAATTAAGGGGTTGTTTACTTTTTTTTTTTTGCATTATGTCCTGAATTAGTTAAGACGTCCGTCTAGAATAAATAGTTTACGTGAATGATTAAGTGAGACTAAGATAACAAACAGTTTACTATGCATGCTGAATGAGAAATCTGAATTATATAGAATGACCAAATAACACTTTTATTAGAATGATAATAAACACTTCAAATTACAATTTCAGATCACGAATAAACATTTCAAATAATTGAGAACACCAAATTTAGTAAATAAGTAGAATTTTATTAGCAGTTATTCTATTGAATTTTTTAATATAGGAATGAAGTATCGCTTTATTGGAACATAAAATATAGTCACAATATTAGTATCATTATTAATATTACGTGTACATTATTATTTGTACTTAGCATGTACTACAACTGTACTATCCTAGTACTTATCATATCCCTTATGATCCGCATGTACGTAGCTAGGTAGTTGTTAGGAGTTCCTATCCATTTGCCTCCTGCGATGTATATATATTAACACACCACGTATGATACATGAAATAATATACACAATTCATACTTCTATATGGTATCAAGAGCCATTCTCTAAAGAGCCAATTCTTTCCTAGATTTTTTTCCGATCAACATGATCATCACTCCCACCACCACGGTAATCCCTATCACCGCCACTACCCACTTCCCCATCAAACTTATCACATCCAATTTTCCGGTGTGGAAGTGTCAAGTTCCTTCGGCCCTTATCGGGCTTGGCCTTGAAGCATATGTTGATGGCACCGTTAAAGTTCCTGAATTGTTCACCGACGAAGCCAAAACTCAGGTGACTCCCTGCTACACCACGTGGTTCCGCCAAGACAGAACCATCCTCAGTGCATTGCTCGGAAGCTGCTCTGACACCATTCAGCCCATCATCTCATCGGCCACATCTGCCCGTCATGCCTTGGAGAAACTCACTCTTTTCATTTCATTGTTTCTAGCTCCTAAATCTAGCACACCATGCGACGAATTGGGACGGGGTAAAATCATATTCTTAAGGAAAAATATGGTTTCATGTTGGAGGTCTCACTTCACCACAAGCCAGCTGCCCTCCCTAGTGAATTGTTATCTATAGATCTATATGTTTATTGAACTCATTTTTCTCCAAGCGAATAAAACAACAAATAACCAAATGACAATGAAAGGAACAAAAGTTTTTATAGAAGAACCCATCGTAATGCAGAACCCATCAACCTTTTGCATTCTTCTCAATACTCCCACAATTTGTATATTTTCAAAACAATTTGGGAAGCAAATAACTCAGTTCTCTCAAATCAACAAATAGATGAGCTCAACATGCTATAGGAAGCTTCCATCCCGATCGAGTCGAAGACTTCCTTTATATGTGAAGGAGTTTAGAGGCTCTAGATCGATCTTTCTTCGATCACTGTTGAACTCCGATCGACCAGTTTTGGAAGCTGATGATGCCGGCACTTGATATATATATCTTGGAGAATTGCGACAAGATATCGCGAAGGAGAAGTGAGCTGAAGGTTAAATATGAGACTCTCAACATGTAAATACGTCTGAAGCTTAAGGAGTATTAAAAGTGGACTGCACGAATCAGTCACAAATGATCTGTCCGAATAAGTCATACGTAACATTAAGTCATAAGTAAAAGCAACTATATAACTGAACAAAAAGTCGAATAAGTCATACGTAGTACATAAAAAAAAATCTATTTAACAACGAATGGGAAATTACAAAACAATAAACAACGAATGCTTTACTAATATAATTGTTAAGATCCAGGATTTCATCCTACAAATCAACCTAATAGGAGTAGGTCAAACCCTTATATAGTATTTAATTGTTTTATACACGCCCCCTCAGCCCGAACTGGGCTGGACAATATCGAGGTGTATAAACGGGCCAAACAAACTCTTAACAAGCTACCCTTCATCATGAGTGCTAAACAAGCCGTCAAACCACAACCGGAATTGACTCTGATACCATGTTAGGACCCAGAATTTCATCCTAAAGTCTTATATATTGTTTAATTTTTATAACTTTACGGTGTGAGACAAAAGTTTAACAATAATTGTAAGTGATTACAGTAGAAGGCTCTCTGTTCGAATCATAACAAAATTATGGATCTTATTCTATGTAACACTGGTCACTAGTACATAGACTAAATTTCTCAATTTGGTATACGAAGTATGTACTACGCGTATTTGGTATATGTCACCACTGACCACGCATAGTCATCGGTCAATGACAATTGACAAATACTCCGTATTACTTTTACGTATTAAAGTCTATGCTAATTCAAGCCGCACTTTACTCCGGAAATAACTACTTTTTCAATCTTCTTTTGTTTTTTTAACTTACTTTTACCTTTGTTAAAAAAACTTACTTTTACCTGCCTAGTTTTCCTAAAGTGAAATTCTTTTAATTCGTAGTAAAGAATCAGCCACAAAATAATTTTTTTAGTAAAAAATTCACAACTAATAATGTAAAAAAAGTGGTGGACAAAATTGTGACTAAAAAATTATTAGTGATTATAATTATGTTCAAATTTTAAATTGTATTGTATCTCGTGATAATATGTGATCATTGCAATATAAATTTCAACACAACCATAGTCATGTTGTCATATCACAATTTTGTTTTTGATCGTTTCATTAGTAATATTTAGAAAAGCCCCCTTTTTTACAGCTAATATGAGAAAACTGAAAAAGAAAATGGAAAAGATATACCGAGTATATAAGTGCAATACAAATTACGAATTTCATATTCTCTTTGGGCTCATTGTTGGACTTATAATATAGTTAACTTCATGACAATAATAATCAAATTAGTAATAGAAATTAAACTTTACATATTTAGAATACATAAACGTCCGATCCTATTTACCCATAAAAATTGATTTAAAATATTTGCCTCAATTAATTATCACTAAAATATAAAACTTGTGATGGAAAATATAACTAAAGTTATTATGTGTATAATAATGTTATGATCAGTTTGATCAATATTCACTGTGGAGTCCAAAACACAACGTAATATAAGAATAATATAATAATTAAAAGTTACTGTCATGAATATGTATGTCTTTATTTCATATGATAAAGATTAAAAGTAATTTAAAAAAGAAGTTTATAAAAAGAATCCATTAACCAATGTCCAATAATAATAGCAAATGAGAAAGTATAACAAACGGAGATACTCCGTAGATTGCAAGTTACAACTGGAAAGATTAATTGGAAATGATCGAGAAGTAACGCTTCTTAATTAGCAGTATAATTAGCCCTAATTTTATTACCACTCAACGGATTGAGTATTTTCGTTTCTTTCGACTTCCTTCCGGCAGTTGTGTCCTCCCACCATTATTCTACTGTAAGGTTTTAATCGATCATCTAAATTGTGTTCTAATAATGTCATTATATATATGATTCTTTTAATTAATTTCATGAAATTGTAACAACTAGTAATAATTGGGACTAAAAACATGTGACAGGCGTATAGGTAGAAATTAAAAGGTGATCATGATGGTGGGAAATGGGAAATCCCGGTGGCTGCTCGTAGCTGCTGTGACATTTCTGGGCATAGTTGTTCCGGCGAAGCCACACAATTATGGAGATGCCTTGTACAAAAGCATTCTATTTTTTCAGGGTCAAAGGTCTGGGCATCTCCCCCAAAGTCAACGCACTTTTGGGATCACTTGGAGAGGGGACTCCGCTCTCCATGATGGTGATGATGTCCGTGTATGTATAGCTCCGATCCATATCTATCTATCTATCTGGCACATATATATATATACAGATATACCAAATTATCAAGTTCTTAGAGAATTTGAAAATGAATCTTGTAGAGTTACTGGACCGGCTCAGACCTCAATCACCATAGCCCCAAGGGCTAGCTCACCATTCACCACCAAGGAGTCAACAAGGGAAACCGAAAGGGCAACAGTCTCAAACACTCAGTTTTGGAGCCCAAAACCCCCCCAGACCAGACCCCAGAGAACCCACCGGAGAAGAACCCCCAAATACCAGCTCAGAGTGAAGCCCACAGAAGGGAACCCCAAGGGTCTCACCGGAGGATAGCCGGAGCTAAGCCTACAGTTCAACCGGCACTCTCTCACTCTAGAACTAGGGTAACAGTCTAGGCTTCTCATCGCTAAGAGAGAGGGAAGGGTCGCACAAATAGGAAATTCCAGAAGGAACGGGACAATATAAGAGAAGGGCCACAATGAGTCATGGGCTGGATAAAGACAAGGGGAGACGAATGGGCTTGGTCGGGTAGGCAAAGGAGTTGGGCCAGACTCATTAATTAGGAGACCAACATATTAATGAGGCGAGCCAAGTACAACAGAGGTGGACCAATACCAACTCACAATCTCCACCTTATTGGTCCCCATGGTGGTGTAGAGCAAAATGTGAATGGGAGTATCATCATTGCCGGTTTTTCTTGTTTTAATCTGTTCTTATCAGCCACAATCTAAATTAAGAATACGTTTACAAGAAAACAGTTTTTCAAAAGTGAGACATTTAGTCCCCATATCAGCAGGGTTGAATTCAGAAGCTATTTTGCATAGCTTAATCCCTCCTTTATCGACAATGTCCCTGATGAAGTGGAACCTAACATCAATGTGCTTGGTCCTGTCATGAAATACTGGGTTTTTGCACAGTTGTATAGCAGACTGGCTATCAGAGTACACAGTTACAACCTGTCTAAGAAAACCAATTTCAGATAGAATACGTTTCAGCCAGATAGCCTCTTTAAAGGCCTCAGTTGCTGCAACGTATTCAGATTCAGTAGTAGAAAGTGCAACAATAGGCTGAAGTTGAGATTTCCAACTTATGCATGAACCACACAAAGTAAAAATATAAGAAGTAGTAGACTTCCTATTATCCCTATCATTTGCATAATTGGAATCAACATAACCAGTAAGGCATATTTCAGAATTAGACTTAGAAAACACAAGCCCATGAGAAATGGTACCCTTAAGGTATCTAAGCAACCATTTCAGGGCATTCCAATGAGGCATCCCAGGGTTGGCCATATATCTACTTAAGCAGCTGACTGCATAGGCAATATCAGGCCTGGTGCTTACCATGAGATACATAACCGACCCTATTGCATTGGAATAGGGTACAGACTTCATCCTATCAATTTCAGGGCCAGTCTTAGGAGACTGATCCTTACTTAGAGCAAAATGAGAAGCTAAGGGCACATTGACAGGCAGGGCATAATTCATGTTGAACTTCTTAAGGACTTTATCAAGGTAGGAGGTCTGGTTAAGGGTAAGGGTACACCTACTCCTATCCCTAATGATATTAATCCCTAGGATTCTCTTAGCATCTCCTAAGTCCTTCATAGCAAAGTTTTCACAAAGACACTGTTGAACATTCTTAATGGCATTCACAGAGGGGCTGATAATAAGCATATCATCCACATAGATCAACAAGAAAACAAGTACAGAGTCAGCATCCTTAAAATACAAGCAAGGATCAGAATCGGACCTTTTGAACCTTAGGGAGGACATGCATTGGTCAAATTTAATGTTCCACTGCCTAGGAGACTGTTTAAGGCCATAGAGAGCCTTCTTAAGAAGACAAACATGCCTAGGGTACTTAGGGTCAACAAAACCCTCAGGTTGGGTCATACAAATCTGCTTATCCAATTCTCCATGTAGGAAGGCAGTGGTAACATCCATCTGCTTCATTTCCCAGTCATTATGGGCAACTAAAGCAAGCATCATCCTAATTGTAGTAAATTTTACTACAGGGGCAAAAATTTCAGCATAATCTATCCCTTCCTTTTGAGTGAAACCTTTGGCAACTAACCTAGCCTTAAACCTAATATTATTAGGCTCCTCTTTAACTTTGAAAAGCCATTTGCACTCAACAACAGAACAGTTAGGAGTCCTAGGAACTAGGGTCCAAGTCTTATTCAACTTAAGGGAATCTATTTCACTTTGCATAGCACTAAGCCAGTTTTTAGATTCTCTAGATGCAAGGGCTTCCTGGTAGGTTCTAGGTTCATTTAAATCAAGAGTTTCAAACACAGAGAAAGCAAACAAGGAAGTATCATACAGATGAAAAGCATAATCAGTCATACTATCAGAAATTTTCCTTATGTTTCTCCTAGTTCTGTCTCTAGCTAACTGATAATTTTCAAGGTTCAAATTTTCAGAATAAGTTTCATGAAAATCATTGTTATCAGTAGAGTTATCACCTGCAAATTCATCATGCACATTTTCATTATTGTTGTTAGACTCAGTAGGCTGCTCCACCTCACTGTAGGTAGAGGGGGTGTCAAGCATAGTGTTGGTCAGGTCAGGAGCATCAGGTGATCCAGATTCATTAACCAGAGGGTTAGAGGTAGTCTGAGTAGGCTCCACCTCACTGGGAGTGGTGCCTTCAGGGCTCAGATCAGGTTCAGTCACATTTTTCACTAAGCAGGGGAAATCAAATTCATTGAACACAACATTTCTACTTATTATGATCTTAAAACCAATCTGACTCCTATCCCAGATCCTATACCCTTTTACCCCTTCAGGGTAACCTAAGAAAATACACTTTTTAGATCTAGGTTCCAACTTGTCAGTCTGTTGATGTACATAGGCAGCACACCCAAACACCTTTAAGTTAGACAGGTCAAGGGGTGTCTTAGAGAAGACAAACTCAGGGCATTTACCATCTAAGGGTACAGAAGGAGACCTATTGATCAAGTAGGTGGCTGTATTAACAGCTTCTCCCCAAAACTTCTTGGGGAGACCAGAAGTAGCAAGCATACTTCTGACTTTGTCAAGGAGGGTCCTATTCATTCTCTCAGCCAAACCATTTTGTTGGGGAGTATAGGGCACAGTTTTGTGTCTCCTAATCCCACACTCGGTACACAACCTATCCATGTCCTTATTGCAGAATTCTAATCCATTGTCTGTTCTAAGGGTTTTAACCTTACATCCAGTTTGATTTTCTACCATAATTTTCCATTCTTTAAACTTGACATACACCTCAGATTTATGTTCTAACAAGCAGACCCAAACTTTTCTAGAGAAATCATCAATTATGGACAGAAAATACCTCCTACCCCCATGGGTAGGGACACTGGAAGGACCCCACACATCTGCATGTATGTAGTCGAGAACAGCTT